CGCGAGGCCAGCACTACTTGCCAAATGCCATGCCCGCAAGTAAAAAGTATTAAACCTCATTTAATGATAAGCCAAAAAAGACGAAAATTTAAAAGCAAAAGAAGCAAAAATATGCATCCGATAACGCAAAATTCAGTGTAAGAAGGTTAAAAAGTACCAGCCAAAAAAAACTGAAAAAGAAAAAAAGCAAAAAATAAAAATGCCAAGATAATCGTTTTCTTTAACGAACCTCGATTTCCTTCAGAACAGGCTTCAATTTTCGTTTGCGTGAAGAATCGACGATCAGGGCCGGTCGATTGTAAAGATTTGAATACGTTGATACGATCGTTTCACAATCCCATTTGGCTTTCTTTTTACCGGGCACATCGATGGTTATCTGTTTCAGTTCTTCTTCTACTTCTTCCGCATCCTCATCGATCTCAGCATAGCGTAACGCCACCTCATCTTTTGTCTAAAAGATCATTTAATGAAAATACCTTAAAAATATTATCACGTGATAAATTAAGAGAATTGTTGAGTTTTTTTTTTTTGCTAAATTACTTGCTCATATTTTAAAAAGGAAGAAAATGGCGCAGGGTTTTAGGCTACATCGTTGGAGAATTTAGCAACTATGAATTAGTGGGGTGAACCAGCAGCTGTTGCAAGTATTCAAGTATTTTCCAAATTGGCAAGGCACCTCACCAAGATTTAGAATTAACATTCGTGACATTTAGTGATGCATTAAGGTAGCCGAAACTTTGCTAAGTGTTTCAGTTGAGCGAGTAATCTCTTCAGGAGACAAAACGAATGCCAGGATTGCCAGCAGACTGGGTGTTCGTGCCTGTAACCATTTTTCATCTCAAGATCTACGAAAGCTACAGGGCTGAAACTTTGGGAACTTAATCTACATGTATGCAATGCAGCACTGCTCAAAGTAGCTGAAAATGCTACCAGCTGCAGGGAGCACTGAAGGCAAAAAAACTAGGCGAGAAGGTGCCTAATTTGGTCGGGTATCATCAAAAATTAACTGCAACAAAAACATATAAGTCTACACATGTCAGAGTAAAGTACCTTAACGCGCTAATATTGCACATTTTCTGATTTCTTTCGGCTTTTTGCAGAAATCTGCTACTAGCTTGTTTGTAATCAATCGTCAATAAAAAGGCAGCCACCGATAGACTTGCTAGTGGAGGGTTGATGTTGGCATTTGCTACCAATCGGGCTACTTCCCGAGCTCTTCGCTCTCAAAGAAAGCGAAAACAGACGAAGTTGCAGCTTCAATCTTACAGCTAAGAGATAAACACAGACTGCGCCATAAAATGTCTTCATACACATGACATTCAACTGAAATTCTTCTACTCTTCTATTTTAATCTTTGCGAGTATCCAGAACGACTATGATGGGTTTTGCGAATGTTTGTGTCACGCGCCTACTAATTCCTCTTGTTCTGCTACAACACAGCTGTGTTATCGGCTCCGAATTAACATCTATCAGCACAATTTTTGCAAGGCAATAAAATTTTCCAACAAAACCATAGTAAACTAGGATATGGAATTCTGGCTTAAAAAAAAGTTCCATTAACGACATCC